TCCTTGGCTTCATTGCATCTGGAAGAAAACCAGTATAGTCTTTCCCAAGGCCCTTCATAAATGAGCACTTTCCAAACTCTCCCACCCCGTCTCTAAAGCCAAACCTGATTCTCAGCCCAACTCCCCTATCTGCTGTAGCTAGAGCCCTTTTTGCTGTTCCTCAGACGCACCCAGCCTCTTATTTTGGTTCACATCTTGTACACCAGCTGCTCCCTCTGTCTGGAATGCGCTCCTCCCAGACTCCCCTGGCCAGCTTCTTCCCAACCTTCACATTTCTGCTCCAAGGCCACCTCCTTAGAAAGTCATCCTATGAAAATAGCTCCCCACAGTCATTCTCTAACCCCCATCCTGCTTTATTTCCCTTAGAGCACTTATTATGGTCTGACTTTATGTTTGTTAACTTAAACATTAACTTTCTGTAAGATATCATATAAGCTTCATTAAGACAGGGATTTTTTCTTTCCTGTCTACTATTACACCTCCATGGTATAGAAAAGTAATTGGCCCACAGTAAATACTCAGCAATGTAGGGATAATGCAATCTCTATGTCCGAAGGCATATCTGCACGGATTGGCTAAGGTTATTGGCTCTGTGAGGTGCTGTTTCACTGGGTGAAGATAACTTTCTTAGATGGGAACTGGCACCAACCTCTAAGACCCACACACATGTTAGCTACTGACAAGGACTCCCTTCATAATCAAATTCAGGCTCCTGTGAGCCCTCTTCTTGACTAGGACTTGTCTTTGGCCGAGCCCTTAGCCTGCGGAGCCAATTTAGCAAGTCTCCTGCTAACGCAATTTACTGAGTATCCCTCCATCCTTGAATATATAATCACATCTCTCATCCCTCCACCATTGATATCAAATCAAATTCCTCTTAGTAATTTTCAATCCAATGACTCCCTCTCCTTCTCCTTGCCTGCTGGCTATAAATTCTGGCTGTCTTTGCTCTCTCGCGCAATAGCCTTGAATAAAGTCTTCCTTCTCATTTTTAACAAGTGTCTGGTACAATTTCTCTTTAACATTAGAGACCAAATAGTTACCCACTGAGCTTGTATACAGCTATTTAATGAATTTTCACTGGTCCCCTTCAAACCTTCTTATGTTCTTTGCAGTGGAAAGGGTCAAAAAAAGGCTTTTCTTTTCTGTGTGACTGAAGAATATGGTTTCTCTAGCATACAGGAGAAAGTCAGGAAGAATAAAGGCTACGTGCTTCTTTTTTATCACCTTTATAGTGGCTATTACTTATTTATTTTGTCACATTTATTTTCTACTGTTCTTGTGGTGACATTTTAATGAATAATACAACAACCATGTTCAATTCAAAATGACACCCCAAATCTCCTAAACAAAAGCATGTCAGTGTATAAAAAATAGTTCCCCATCTGCCACGAAACCCATGCAATTCACAGGCAGTCCCCTCCTGACTCGGCAGCCAACTGGCGATGATATGGTCATACCTGCCACATCGAACTCGATTTCCAGGGTGACCTTGCTCGTGATGGAGGAGTCTCGGAGGAGCTGATTGGCTTCCTCGAAGGTGCTGTCTTCGGTTGGAATTCCATTAATGGCCATCACTCTGTCTCCAATCTGTAGGACCCCACATCTGAATGTAGAACCACATGTTAGAGGCTGCATAGAGGGTAAATGATCATCAGTCGAAGTTGCCACATCTGCTTTGTTTGACCCTTGCAAAATGGCATAACCATGTGGTCTTGTTTATTCAATGCTGTGGGAATCCTATTAGTTAGGTCAACTGCAATGTCTTGCACTTTTGCATCTCATGGCTACCAACGTGAGCAAGGGAATCTTGAAGTACTCCAGCAAAGTAATTAATAATTCAGCACCATGGTATTTTTCTAATCTGATCTGAACCAATATATTGTAATGATGAATGTACATCCCTCCATGGCAGAGAAGCTATTAAAGTTTGAACTTAGAGATTTTTTTAATAGATTTTTTTTTCCTTTTTAATTAATATACCCTTAGTCCCTGATGGACGAAACCCTGCTAGATAAAGGCATCCATGCTCATAATTCTTCTCAAAACTGATCAAGAACATAAAATTTTATTGTCAGAACAGAGAGTTCATTATATCTTACATTTCCTGCATTGAGCGCTGTTCCATAATTTATTAGTTGTCCAAAAAGAGCCGGCGCACAAACGCACAGCAGGGAAAGATGCTGTGAAAGAAAGCGTCTCACCTCTCTGCAGGGCTGTCAGCCTCAATGTAGGAAATCAGAGGCGGAGAAGAGAGTGTCTCCGTGGCAAACACACTGCCCTGCAGCTGGATCCCAAATCCTGTGACAGGGTCTGCCGTCAGCACCACCTCTGTGGTTTCTGTGTGAACGACCTGGCCAGCCAAGCCCACTGTGCTGGAGGCTAAAGACACTAGAGGAGCAACACGAACAAGAATGACGTCAGGTTGAAGCAAGCACCAGAAAACCAGCATTTCTAAAACAGATCATGGCTCTGAAGAGCAGCTCACTGGCTACGGTGGGAGGTCATATTTTGGCGTTCTGGTAACAACTTTAGCCAGAGCTGAACAAGATGTGTAACTCTCACAGAACTAGTCAGTTCTGTCACAATACGCAATGTAAGGTGTTGCCTCCTCCCCTTACATACCTGCCTGTTAGGGGCAATTGTGGGAGTTGCAGGAAGAAGACACCCCAGGGTCAGGGTCAGGGTCAGTCAGGGTCAGGGTACCTGGATTCTGGTCCTGGTTCTACTACTGAGAAACCATTAACCTCTTTCCTAGCTAGAAGGAGGAGGGTTGGGCTAACTTGCCTAATGGTTTTTCTACTTCAGCTTTAAGATTTACAGACAATCTGACCTCCAGCTTTGAAGAAATGCTCTGAGTCTAGCTCCCAGGGTGGTAAGGAAGTGCTGGTCATCAACCTCACTCTAGCATCAGGTTGGCATGATGGAGTCATTTAAACGCTACATTCCTCCTACTCTCAAACTTGGTCTCTTCAGTTCTTATTTCTTCCCAATGGGTCTCCAACATACTCTGTCATCTCTTATTTCATTTGTTCCTCTGATAGTCTTCTCAGCCCCCTGGCACACATCTCCGACTTGTTCCCATCCCCACCCATGTCACGACTGACTGCTGCACTCCTGGACGCCTTCCTCTCAGGCGTGACCTGTGCCTCCTTTGTTCCCTGAGAGCAAGAGCTCTGTCTTTAGGGTCACCCTCTGCCGCACTGTCACTTCCTCCCAACAGAGGCTTCTGGCCCTTTAATGGAAACCTGATGCGAACACGTACCTCTAAACCTTCTCCAACCAGAAGCTGTTTTCTTTCACTCTCCCTGCACGGGGCAAGGAGAGAGAAGGGTTTCTAATACTGCTTGCTTTCCATGCAGTGATCTTTTATTTGTTTTGGTTTTTTACCTCATACCACTCCTATTTAGAGTTCCATATGCTGTACTAATTTCTGCTCTGTCTCATCTTCAAACCCATAGTTTTCTGTTTACAAGATCCCACCCCTCTTCCTCACTGACTTCAGGACTTGGCTCATCGTCTATCTCCTCTGACCTACAGCTTTTCGTTGTCCTAAGCCCTTTGACATGATGGGAATAATCTAATGTGCTGGGTTTGTGGTTCTGCAGCTCTCCCATTGCTAGCATTCCACCCTGTCAGCTCTCTGCCACAAAGCCCTGGGCGGACCCCATCCTCCTTTGAAATGGGTAGAGCTCCAAGATCTCAATCCTCCTTGGTGATCACATGTCCTTATTAGCCATCTGTCCCAGTCTCTACGATCTAATTTTCTGCTCTTATGACTTCTGCTCCCATTGCCTCTCACTTGTCTCCTAGTATTTTTAGCAACAGATCACATCCCCCCACCTCTTCAAATGAAGGCAGATGATAAGGGATGCCTCTATATTCCAGATGAAAACAGAACTACTGCAGTTGACGTTGGAATGAGACCCCAAGCCTTCGTCCTCCCTCATAGGGGAATCTGTGAATGCAGTTTAAAGACCATCATCTTTATCCATTGCCTTTTACTAGCATCCTTTGCCTCCACACTCCACCTGGACCTCTGGTGACCACTTCAATGATGCATTTGCTGGTAAGAGATTCTGAAACCTCACGTGATTGTCTATACGCTAACGCTCTGTCCTCTTTGGTAAGGCCCAGTTAACTCCACCGCTGTTACTAAGTTGCTTAGGGGTGTTGAGAAAGTCATGACAAATTCACATTATTCTCTATGGGGCCCTGGAATCTTTTGCTGAGTAATATTTTGGCACCTTATTAGATTTCTTACAGGATCTGTCTCAAACATTTCTACCCTTAGTAAGGTCAAACTTGACTCTTTATTTCTTACAAGACTGAAAATATGCCACCATTTAACAAGAGTTCCTTAAACAACATTGTTTCGATCTTAATTTATCTGTATCAGCGATTTTCAACCTTTTTCATCTCATGGCATAATAACTAAAATTCTACTGCACACCAAAAAATGTATTACATTTTCGGCCGGCCTGGCAAAAGAATATTTAGGTATAATTTTGATTCATTCACACCAGACGGCTATTGTTGTGTTGGCTGTTGTCATTTTTTAAATTGACAACCTAAGGGAAAAGAGGTCAGAGCCCCTGACTAAATAGTCAGGTATTGCATGTTTTAAAAACTCTCGCAGCACACCAGTGTGCCGCGGCACACCGACTGAAAACCGCTGTTCTGTATCACCATCTGTTCTCTCTTTCCCCCATTTTTTCCTGCTTCAGGGGGATGTATCCTTTTTCCATCTCCAGGCTAACTATTAAGTATTTTTGATACTATCCTTTTCCGCTCCTGTGATTTTGTGCCATAAAATCTTTCTTGCCACTTTTCCAACTTACTTACTCACTCCCCTAGCTTTCTGACCTCTCTCTGATTTGTACTGCTTCTAAATGGTTTAAACTGTGGCTTCTTCCTTTACCCTTTACTGAAACTACTCTCACTGCTGGCTTCCTGATTGCTAAAATCTATGGCCTCAACTGCTCTAGCCACTAAGTAGCCACTGGCTTTGGAAACCATCACTTTCTTTCTCAAATTGCCCTCTGGGTTTTGATGAAGCTTGGTTCTTAGTTTCTTACTTTTTAGCACCCACCATTCTTTTGCTTTATCTGCATGTCAAGCAAGCTAATGCCCATGGTTCGGTCCTAAGCCTTTTTTATCTCATTCTTTTCCTCATTCACTTCCAGTAAAATATGATCCAGTAAAATACATACCTTCTCAAGTCTACCTCTCTAGTGATGAATTTCCGGACTTGATAGATGCCAACTAGAACGATGTCTCATTGACTCCTCAAACTCAACATTTTCAAAATTGAGTTAATCACTTCTCTTTTCCTATGGGACCACAATTACAGTCCTCCGGGCTTGAAATCTCAAAGTAGCCTTTGACCCACAACTCCCCATTGTCTCAAACTCAATCAATTTTGTTTAAATCCCCCTTTCCATTCTTACGGTCAATGCCTTAATTCAGGCTTTCATTACGTTTACTTCAATTAATCTAATATACATATTTCTGGGTTCTTTCATGCCAGTGCTTTCAATATATTGTTGCCAGATTAACATTCTCTTCAGAATGAGGCCCCAATTTATCCACTCCTCTGGAGTAGAGCCTCATCACTTGACCCTCAGTTCTTTGCATGTCTGGAATCCTAGTGCCTGTACCATTCAGTGAATGCTACGTAAGTGAGAAATGAGTCACATTTTGTGATATCATCTGCATTTTTTGTTTTGAAACCAACATTTCATGTAGATTCTGCTAAGTTAAGGAACTAGGAAGTTGTTCTTTGGGACGCAAATATTTCCATGATGTGGATCGTTCCAGCACTGCAGCTGACATGGCAGAGGATGGTGGCGAGTCAATGTCTGGAAGGACTAAGGGAACTGTACTTCTTCTAAAGAAGCACGATCATTGTTCTGTCTCAGCAGGATGAAGTCAGTGAGATTTCTGCAGCCTGCAGTGGGGAGTGAAGGGAGCCTCCCACCCTAAGCTTTTTACAGGTGGCCACCTACAGTTCCAAAGTCTCATGGACTATCAATTATTTTCGTTTTTAAATTAAATTTATTGACATGGATTAATAAAATTTTATGTTTCCGGTGTGCAATTCTATCATACATCACCTGTATATTGTATTGTGTGTTCAGCAGTCCAAGTCAATTCTCCTTCCATCACTATTTATTCCCCTTTATCCTCTTCTACTTCTTCCCAAACCCTCCTCTCCTTCCAGGAATCAGTAATACGTTGTCTGCTTCCTTGAGGTTTTTGTTTTGTTTTGTTTGTTTTTGCTTAATCCCTTCACCTTTTTCACCCAGCCCCCCAAACGCCCCTACTCTCTGGCAGCCATCAGTCTTAAGATTCTGCTTTTGTATCTATGAGTTTGTATCTATTTTGTTTGTCTGTTTTGTTTCTATTTTACTTGTCAGTTTATTTTGCTCATTTGGCTATCATATTTTCTAGGATGCTTCTGTGAATGTGAGCTGTACTTTGATTACTCTCCAGATCATACATATATTTTTTTTAATGCTGGCACAAACCAGTAGAAGATGCCATATCCTGTCTGTAAGCATCTGGAAAGCTGCATTTCTTTCCAGCTAGTGAGCAGGAACAGAATATTAGAACATCACTTATTTGGCAGATTACTTCCAGTTCTTGGTGAAGCTTTTTTTTGGATGTCAACAAAAATACTTTCTGTGAATCTTTATACATATATTTCATCTGAAATCTCAATTTGGTGCAGATTTTTAGACTACTTAATTAGAGTTAGAAACTATGTTTGGACTTCTAAGTCAGAGACGCCCTGAGGACACAGGCCTGACAGAAAGTGTGCAAGTTTCTGAGGGTTGTGCTCTGGGGCATGTCAGGATATCTACTCCAAAGGAAAGAACAAGTTGCTGCCACTTTCATCCCCTCTGCATAGGAAGAGTCAAAATACTCAATGGGCGTCTTTAGATTTTAGATATCAGTTTCCATGTGCCACTAGGACCCATTAACCAGGTGATCCAAAAAGTTGGATCAGTTGGAATGAGCAGCTAAGATGACGTTACAGCTGCTCCCCACAATGATGCATGTGGCTACTCCAGGCCGGTGCTTTCTGAGGGAAGCTTACAGCCATAGCAATGAGACCCTGACACCAGACTAAACCAGAAGTGATGGCCTGCAATTTCAGAAAGAGAGGAGAACGGAAATGCCAGTGTACAGCTACAGAGAAAACGGATCATTTGAATCCTGTGGCTTCTGGGGAGCAGGACAGAAAGGGACACTGTGTCCCATTCTAAGCCTCGTATTACAAGTTCACTTTTAACTATAAGCCTATATATTGTGATAAAAGTAAGAAGGTGAACATTAAAAAAAGAACTTTTAAGTCAGTTGATTACCATCTCCATTAATTAAGAATCAAAAAGAAATGGTCGGTTTAATAACAATGGGAGAGATTAGGGGAGCTGTAGCAAAGACCCTCTCCAAGGAGAAGCTTGCTATGTTTTTTGGATCAGTTAGAGAAGATGAAAATTTCATTCTGTAGAGGGTTTTGAACACAGAAATAAGCACTAATTCACTGTGGGTAGCATTAAATTTATAAGCTCTATCTAGAGGCAAGTTGAGGTGATAGAAATCATTAGGAACTTTAATTTAGGATTAAAATGTATTAAACATGGGTTTCATAATTATATAAAGTTATAATTTATCTAATAAAAACAGGCTTACATTAGAACTAGGATTTTACAATTCACTCTGAAAGTCCTCTGACACATTGGGATCTATTCTTTGAAACAGTCAAATTTCATTTGAAATTGCAGGTACTGATTACTCACAGGCATTAACGTCTTGAAAATGATTACCAGACATGATAAACATCAACTGCAGAATCAAGGATGATGAGCCAGAAAGAAAAACAACCAATATTCCTTGGAAGAGAAAACGATGAACTTGATTACCCCGCTTCATTAATGTGGTCAAGCAGCAGAGGAAAATGAAGGGGATTTAATCCTGAGTTCAGAAAGTTGTAGAATGAATTCTCTCTCCAGTAGCAAATGCCCCTGCAAGGCACTGGCCCTGGCCTGAGAGGTGCCCATTTCTACCCGCAGGTGAAGGCGGACATGACTACTCTGCCGCCATGCTGTGTGTGAATACCAGTCACTGGTGTGTGCCAGCATTCACACCTGCATGTCCTGTCCCTTTCACACCTGGAGGGTTCTGTTCACAGCCCTTCAGGTTTGCAGGGAATGGCCCTGTGTTTGGGTCAATTCTTGTCTTTCCGAGTGTAAGTAAGGGAGGGGAACCAAAGGCAGTTTTCTAACTCCCAAAGTTTAAAAATCAGCACCATGTTTCCTTCATTTAGAAGGCTGAGAGGTTTACTGTTAGATATGAAGAGCATTTAAAAAGTACAGAGAGCAAAGGACCTCACAGATTTATTAGTAACGCGGTGTTTGTCATTCTTTGACCCTGTAATTTAAGACATCTCACTGAAGTGTTCCACATTTAGGGTCGACCCCCTGTGGACACAACACATTGTGTATCACGTGGTCCATTCGGGAGCGCAGCGGGGTGGCCAGCAGCCCCCTCCTCCACGCAGGGCTGGTGGGGGCAGATCTTACGCTGTCAACTGCCAGCGCTCTGTGCTCCGTCACTTATAAACGCTTACCGTTAGCTGCCTTGGCCTTCCATTTTTTTTTCAGGGGTCGGTAGAAGGGATAAAAGTTGTTAGTCTTTTTCATTCTCTTCCTCTCAGCTATCTGCAATGCTGCCCTCCCTAGTAGTAAGTGCCAATGACAAAAGAGGCAAAGACCGTTCTGGGCATGTGCTCTGACGTGTACTCTCTGTTGTATCTCAGGCTGACTGGGCACAGGCAGTCTCCCCACGGGCTCTGGGTGCAGGAGCAGGAGGCAGACAGCAGGGGAACTGGCTCAGTCATGCCTCTGTCATGGGGTGTGGGGGTGACGGGGTCCTGGAAGGAGCCCTGGCCTCTGCAGTAGAAAAAGGGCAGCCGGGTTGTGGGGAAAAGTCAGTAACATTCCAGAAGCGGTGAGGAGAGGTTCCCTCTGTGACACCCTCCGGGCTTTGTGACACTCCTCACAGCCGAGGCGGGGGTTGCTCACCACTGTCCCTGTGGAACTACCAGCACTTTCCTGTTTCACTGCTTGTAACATATGGTCGCGGGTTTTCTGTATTCTCCCCTCTAGGCAACTGTACAGAACGTTTTCATATTTATGTGAGATTTTCCACTCTTCCGGCCATGTCCTTCCTTCGTCCTGGAAACATATGTGAGAATTCTTTCTGGTTTCCAGGTTCTGGCCTCAAATGCTCACCAACACAGCAAAGAGGCTTTTGATTGTATTTGGGACTTTGCCAGGACTCACCATCCATACAAATGGCATGGTTGCTATAGAAACATAAGAGTGAGAAAGGGGGCAGCCAGTGGTGGCACGGAATAAACACATAAATAAAGTGGTGGAAATAAACCAAGGTAGAGTGAGAGTGGCAATAAAACTTTTATTATCAGTTATTTGGAGAAACCTTTCTCTCTAATATGACCATTCCAAGCTTAACAACAACAACAAAAGAATGGAACCTAATCTTGAGGATTTTTGTGTGTGATTTTGGAAAACTAATTTTTTAAGGCTCTTTGAAGTTGGAATAAAAGTTCATAGTTTGTGAATCTTATTGTTGGATTAAAATATAACATATATGATCTCCTGAGACAAACATTCTGGTCTATGTATGGTCAGTGATGCTCTAGTAGCGAATGTCTACAGCAAACACAAATAGCTAGAAATTTCTTCAACCAGCTTTGTGTTTATATTTCCACTATGTTGGAGAATAATGTGCTGATTCAAGAGAGAAATTATGAGTTGGCCATGGATGTCAGTGACAGTGTGGCCTCAGCTTTGTTTCCTACCACAAAATTCAAGATGTGCAAATATCAAACCCATTATCATTCGTTTGTAGTCCCTAATGTGCTTAGTCAACATAGGCAGTCTTACCTAACACAAGCAAATGTTTAGCCATTGAAGCACAAGTACAAACATTAATAAATTCATTTTAATTGCTCTTCCCTGCTGAGGGATGTTAGCCTGTTTCTGTCAGTGAGGAGTGCTGTACATGAAGCTATTCTATGTAAAAATATTCATGAGCAAATGCCCACCACAAGCCCTGAAGGCACTGCATGGAAGACTCAAGATCTATGTGTTATGCCAAAGTGTAATCACTGTGAAAAATGAAGAAATTTGAGAGGAATGTTAACAGAGTTTCGCACAGGACCATTCAGACTCAGGCAGAATAGCAGCTAACACTTAATCTATTCAAAAGAGCTAATTACAGTGGGGCCTTGACTTATGAGTGTCCCGACTAACGAGTTTTTCGAGATACGAGCCGTCTCTCGGCCGATTTTTTGCTTTGAGTTGCGAGCTAAAATTCGGGTTATGAGCCAGCTTCAGATACCCCACCGCTAGTTGGCGCAGCGAACGTCACAGTGAACGCCACAACATCAGCCCAGCATCACGTATCTCACTCGTTCACTTTATGATTTGACATACGAGTAATTTGAGTTACGAGCTCCATCACGGAACGAATTAAACTCGTTAGTCAAGGCCCCACTGTATATGACTTGAGAGACCGTTTCCTGGGCTGGGTGGTGGTCAGTCTCCTACACTGATGGTGGCGCGGGTGGGACTGGCAGCACATCCACTTGCATAGATGAATCTCTGGCAAATAAGTTGAAGAGCCAACAGGCTCAACCACCCCTTCTCACAAGAACATTCTCTCTTCACTACCAGCTTTGAAGTATCTGGGTTTGGCTTTATTTAGGTAACTTAAGGGTGTTCTTTATTTTATTCTCATGGTAATCCCAGGAAGAGACCCTATCTCCTTTGAGCTTCTTTACAGGAATCACAACCATGGCCAAAAGGGACATATAGGATACAACCCATGCACGCTCTAGACTACAATTAGATCTCGCTGGAAAGATAGGTGTTTTCTTCCTCTAAAACGTAATGTGATGATGATGAGAAATTATGATCTTCCCCAGCAAGAAAAATTAGGAGCTTTTTGAATTTCTTCCCTGTTCACACAATCATTACCCCTTTTTCTCTTTACCAGTATGTGTATAACCAGTCATCCAAAAGCAAGTAGCCAAGCACATTTTCCTAGTCTTGCTTGGTCTATACTGAGCATGGCTGTCCCAGAGGGTCATATTTCCAAGAATCCTATTTGAAATTCCTAGACTTTAAGATGCTTGTTGTAAAGATAAACATCCCTCTCATCTTCTTAAGGCTGAAGTGGGCAACAGAAATATATGTTCAAGCCGTGATTCTCAATGGGGTGGGTCCCTGGGGAAAGTATTGGAATCTTGGGGAATGAGATATTAATAGCATTAAACAAAAGTGTGAGGTTCTTATATTTACCAAAAAGGAGACATAGTTTTCAAAAAACTGCTTTAGAGTGAATAAGAAACTAAGAACAAAGGTCATGCTCGAAGCTACCCTGAACACAGGGAAGGAGTTTTAAAGGAAAAAAATCACATCTTAAGTCATTTTGTTAGATCAAAGGAGCAAGAAGAAGTTTCACATAAAAAGTCGTAGGCAAGGGTAGTATGAACTAATTCAATCTGAAATTGCATCCCCTGTAATCACTATCCTAGAGATAACGGATATCACTTTAATGGTCTTTGGCACCGAGCTGGACCTGCTTGGCATCTGCCTGATGAGCAGGCTCTGTAAACTCTTCCCCCAGACCTCTGTGGACCAAAGACTCTAACCTGCCCACACGCTTTCTCCAGGCCACACGGCACTGGCTACCATTCCACTTACGTGAGCTTTTGAAGTCTTTCTTTTTCAGTCTCCTCCTCATCATGGTTCCACGTGGACTAGTGGAGTAGAGGCTGCGAGGCAAAGTCCCCATGTTCAGGGAACTCAGGCTGTATGCACTCATGGAGGTAGGAGAGAAGGATGAAGACACCAGAGCTGCTGTAAGAGAATGAAGACTTGGCACAGAGCATTCCCAGGTGGGGTGTGAGCCCGCCACACGTGCCAACCAGCGACAACCCGGGAAGACACACAGGACGCACAGTGGTAGCGAGTAAGTGCCCCAACCAGACAGAGACAGGGCTCAGGAGCCGGGGACGCATCGCTTTAGATTCTGAGTTACGAGAGCCCATGGACACCTGAGGGGCAGATGGTCCCCGTACACATAGTGGAACACAGAGAAGCTCTATGAGTTTTGCTTTAGACACACAAAAATCCCAAACATTAAAACAAGTTTCTTCATAAACAACACAATGCGTCAGATACGTAATCTCATTTTCATAGGTATTTTCTGACATGACTTTTGCATGTGATTCCACATATTCAGAGAAGATCTGCGAATACTGTACGCTGTATAACATTCTGAATGGTTATTTCCTGACCACATGTAAAGCATTCTGAACATTTACATCCTCTCCCCATGACAAATGCGTTCTGATGGAAAAGAAAAAGACGTAGGGGATGTCAGAAATGGTAAGCTGCTACAACGAAAAAAGCATACAACGCCCATGAAACCAAAAACGGTATGACTCAGATGAGCAAGGAGGGAGATGAAGATAATTTAAATAAAGGACCAGGAGGAGAAAGCCTGGAACATTACGAGGGCTGTTTGGAGGAGGCGCTTTCGGGAATGTCAGGGCCGGCAGTCTGCCATGGTCAGGGTGGTGCGCGTTAGAGTGATGGTAGGTGTGGAGGCTGCAGTGGCTGCTGGCCCAGGAATCCCAGGTAAGTTGCCTGTCGCTCCTCTGAATTTTCACTGCCCATATGAAGTGATGATGGGAAATAAGAAAAACAAACAAAGAACCAAAAAAAGAGGAAAAATAACTGAATTGCACAAATAAGAAGTGTAACAAAAATGAAAGCTTCTTGAAAAAAAAAATCTACTGTCTACTGCCTTTGCCCTTTTCTCAGTGGTCAGCAAAACAGATGATTAAAATCAGGATGGAAACTTTCATCTTCCCAAGAATAATGCATGTTTTTTCCCCAGCCCATTTCCCCCCTCTTTTTAAAGATGCCTCTTGAATCAATTTCTAATCTCCCCCCAGTGCCTCACAGCAGAGATTAAAACCATTTTTTAAAACTTAAAAGTCAACCCCATAATGATTTATGGCACATGATTAGTAATTGAAGATTTGCAAATCTTGGCTAGTTAGTAGCATTTGTTTTGAGAGAGAAAAAAAGAAGAAACAATAAATCTCATAGGCTCATGATTCAAGTGGTTTACTGGCCACACATCACAGTTTTCTGCTCTGACTTAATTGCTCTATGATCCATCACTTGGACTTGGACTTAATTTTTCTCAACATTAAATCATTCTAATCATCTATCAATACCAGAATCTTATCTGTATCCTAGTAAGGAGAAGATAAAAGTCTCAACATAATACATTTTTTTTGGTATTTTTGAAAGAAGGTACTTACATTTGAAAGCAATAATTAATTCTTAAAATATTTCACATTTTCTTATATTTCCTAAAGATGCTACACAATTTTAATAAAGTTTATTTTAAAATGTTGGCATCCTTTTTATTTTTTAAAAAAATGTAGACTGTGTTTCCATTATAATTCCAGTATTGTTTCAATTTGATTTTCTACTCAGTGTTCTAAAGTATGACCAATATTATGTTTGTTACTATGTCTGATATGAAAATTTTCATTTAGGCTGCTTCAATGGGTTACAACAGCGGTTCTCAACCTGTGGGTCGTGACCCCTTTGGGGGTCGAACGACCCTTTCACAGGGGTCGTCTAAGACCATCGGAAAACACATATATAGTTACATATTGTTTTTGTGATTAATCACTATGCTTTAATTATGTTCAATTTGTAACAATGAATATACATCCTGCATATCAGATATTTACATTATGATTCATAACAGTAGCAAAATTACAGTTATGAAGTAGCAACAAAAATAATTTTATGGTTGGGGGTCACCACAACATGAGGAATTGTATTAAAGGGTCGTGGCCTTAGGAAGGTTGAGAACCACTGGGTTACAATGACCAAGAGATGCAGATGTGACCGCTATTAATCTCTCCAGCTTCATACCCTATCATTCCACTCATCATTGATTGTTCCACCAACAATGGTCTTAGGTTTGTTGGTAATACAAGCCAGGCTCCTTCCTACCTCAGGGCATTTGCAGTTCCTATTCTTTCTGCCTCTAATATTCTCCCCCCAGTTGTTTGCATGGCTGGCTCCTTCTCATCATTCAGCTCTCAGCTCAGCTGCTACCTCCTCAGAGTTGTGGCCGACTTCTGTGACAGAAGTAGCTGCCTTCTCCCACACTATCCTATTACTGTTTTACGTTCTTCATAGCACTTATTACTGTTTCACTTATTTAATGTATTTTCAGTGTTTGTCCCTTTATACTAGAAATCCATAGAATAGGAATCTACTTTGCTGTCTTGCTTACTAGATGTACTGTAGCAACTTTAACCATGCCTCGTACATAATGACTGACGAATGAATGAATGAATAACTGAACACATGATGAATAGGAATATCAGGGAGAGTGTCCATGTCCGCATTGCTGCAGCATTTTCCTTGTGATAAAGTGTTGCAAGGCAAGTCCCTAACGGATTCTCCTTCACCGTCCTTATTCTACGTTGTGGTGCAGAACACCATGTTTTATAGCAACGTGCAATCATTGCTGGGTCAGGCTAATCTACACCCACAGCCATCGATTTTACTCTTTACAAAATATTGCCTGTGTTTCCAATGAAGTATAGTGAGTGGATTTCAGAATTCTAAACTGAATTTTTGATCCGGTTCTTTATGGAATGCTTTGAAAGTAACTGGGAACTTTTGGGGCTGTTGTATATTAGGCAAGTATTTCAGGAGTTTAAAAAGAAAATGTTAACATTTTTTTAAAATACTGTCTAAGTCTATATAACGGCTTGTCTCATAGAGGAGAGCACCAGAATAGGTTAGACTTTGATACTATAGAAAGCTAAAATGTTACATTTTTATCAAACTCTTTCATTTTGCAAAAAACATTCATACACATTTTCCCATTTAATGGTCCCAATAATGACAGAAAACTTTCACTGAATACTTGCTATATCCCAGACACTGGCTAAGTGCTTTCCCATTGATTATCTCAGACAGTGTTCGCAATAGAATCATGAGGTATTATTCTCACATCCATTTTACAGAAGAAGAAACTGAGGTATAGGAAAGTTGGATAACTTGCTTAAGGTCCCAAGTGGTGGAGCCATAATTAAAACTCTGGAAGTCCGACTCGAGAGTCCCTTCCCTCAGCCACCACACTACACTGCCCCTGCCTTTGTTACAGATAAATAAATAGTGAAAATACAATGCTGTTCCCATCATTCCATGGTGACATCATTGCTGAAGTCTTAAGAGGTATCTGCCTTGGAGTTGTCTTCGTCTCTAATCGCACCCTCTTGCCCTGTCTGGGACGCCTGAGGGTACAGGCAACAGCAACTTTGGGGTGGTTCCTGGAGCTCGCCGATGCACGTCCTCTTGGCACAGAATATATCAAACCTAGCAATTCCGCTTACATTTACCCCCTAAAGTCTCAGTTTCCTTCAATTATGATTAAGGATCCCAAAGGTCCTCTTGGGGTACAATTTCTAACCTCATTGAAAAGTCGTTCTTGCTGGCTTATTTACTAGCAAAAGGCACAGTCAATCTCTGATTGCTAGTTGATGTGCCCATTTCTATGTTTCATAAAAACACTGTGGTGAATGCTTTGTTGATAAGCAAAATTTGGAAAATGTTGTACTTTCCCTCCACCTGGGATGAGAGACATGCTCATGTTCAGGCATCAGAGATCTTGAAAAAATAACCAGAATTTTCTTGTGGAAAAAGTGTAAAACTATGTAAGACAATGCTACTAATTACAAAAAGAGAAGTTTGAGGATTATGAACACCATTTTGGGAGGAGGGGTATTTTTCCTCCTTCATAACTGTGATCTAATTATGCTTAGGAGCCTATATTTATTTCCTTTTGGAAATGCAAGTCTGATTTTAATGTAAAATGCAGGGAGCTGCTTCTATGCTCGATAAGGAAGATGGTGAGCAATTGTCGGCAAAAGTGGATGATATGGTCACAAATTAGAATTACGTAAATTACCAGTTCCCTGAAAAATCATAAATGACATCATGTTCTCTACAGTGAAGAAAAAGAATTTGTTCTTGGTCTCCATACATTTTAGTGTATACATTCATGTTCTCAAATTGTCTTGGCAGGTAAACATATTATTTCCCATGCTGGAAACAATTTGAACTATTTATGATTTGTATACAGGCACATAAAAAGGAGAAAAATGAGGTTGCTAAGGACAATGACATTTTTAAAGAGTCTGTTAAACATTTCTGGTTCGCTGAAACCAGAATTTACCAAGCAAAATCTCACGCTGAAAAAGCGCTACATAGTGTGCGCTCTCCTCCCTACTGTGCTCCAAATCCATGACGACTGCAGATTAGTTTAGGAGAAACTTACAGTCCTAGAAATCTCTCCTCTCAGCCAGTTGCAGGCAGGAAAGGCTCGAGGGGCCTCCCGACAGGAGCGGCCTGCATCCTCTGAGCTCCTCATCGTTGCCACTCACATGAGGCAGAGTTTCTTCATAACCTGCCTGTACGGCATCGTCTCTCCACTCCAATGTGTAAAATTAAAATCTGATAAAGGTAATGCTGTACTAGAGATTTTCATTAGCTCCAGGGCTGCCTAAGCTCCATTTAATTAAAAGAGGTTGCATCCAGCTGACTCATTCAGTATGAAAATTAACTGGTCCCTCTCCTTTTTTCAAATTGCGGAAAAGTGCAGTGTGTTTTAGGAGGTGGGAGACACGCAACGCAAATGACCTCCTCATAAGCAAAATTACAATTACAGAGAAAACTGTTCTCTTTCTCTACACACACAGCAGTGCCTTCTTCACCTCCAGGGCACCTTGGAGGCTTCCAGGATTTGATTTCAGGAATAAAAAGGAGGGCACTTGGCTTAAGGAAAAGGAGGGAGGAGGAACTGGAATAAAGGCCCCACTGGGGAGTCTTTCTTCATTTAATTTTGGGCTCAAAGTACTTTTTCTTGCACCAGGTTTTGTTTAAAGAGGCCCAGGTGAAGGGTATGTACAGGGAGGGCAAAGTAGGTTTACAGTTGTGAGTATGTGAAACACAGAGTTTATTCTACTATTATTATTTATTAACTAGAAGCCTGGTGCACAAAAATTCGTGCACTGGGGAGGGGGGAAGGGTCCCTCAGCCTGGCCTGTGCCCTCTTGCAGTCCGGGACCCCTAGGGGGATGTCAGACTGATGGCTTAGGCCCGCTCCCCAGGGGATCAGGCCTAAGCTGGCAGTCAGACATCCCTCTGGCAGCCCGGGAGCCCTCGGGGGATGCCCGACTAACGGCTTAGTTGGATATCCTTAGCACTGCCATGGAGGCCTCTCCCACCACCACCGCTGCACTGGTCAGCCATGAGCCGGTTTCTGGCTGAGCGGTGCTCCCCCTGTGGAAGCACACTGACCACAAGGGGGCAGCTCTTGCATTGAGCATCTGCCCCCTGGTGGTCAGTGTGCATCATAGCGACCGGTCATTCCACCTTTAGAGTCAATTTGCATAATATCCTTTTATCATATAGGATGATTGTATTATTTTCCATATGAACAACTGTAAACCTATGTTTGCCCACCCTATAAATACTCAGCAAACTGTGATTTGTGGGATGGTAACACTGTAGATTCCCTCAGCTGACACTTGCTATTGAATAGGTGTACTCAAGTATTAGGATTCTCTCAGGGAAGATATTTGGTCAGAAAGGTTGTTCTCCATTTTAAGAAATACATTCCTCTGGCAAACAGACAAAATATAGAGAAAGTCAACTCTTCACACAACTATTCCCCACTCCCAAATATTTGAAGGGTCTGCTATTAATATCCATTTTATAACTATTTACAAAATGAAAGTTTTACTATTTACCTACATTGCCCTTCAAATAGAGTGGAAATTTAATATAACAGGTTATCAAATAACTACCCTTCTCTCCACACTCAATGTACATCCAAGGGTTTTGTTTTGTTTTTAAATATCAAATATTACTAGCCTGAAAATTCTTCAAAACATTCTCAAACAAGGTTTCTTTGCATAATTTGGGGCTTTTAAGTGAATGACATGCGTCTTAGCAAAAGAGATTCGGAGGATAAAGACCAGCAAACAAAGATAACCTGCTGTTTTGAAAAGAAATGACTAAGGCAGAATTAAACCCAGGATCTTCCTAGCTCTGCTGGAAGGAGCAGCAACTGCACAGAGAAAGCAGAGACTTATCCCCAGGGCCTCACCGTGGTCAGGTCCCTTCAGCGCCAGGCGGGTCTGGTGGTGGGGAAGGATCTCCAGCTTGACCTGGTCGGTGGTGTTGGCCAGGAACTGGGTCGCCTCAGCTAGCGTGCAGTACTCCATGCTGGTGCCGTCGATGGACAGGATGTGATCGCCCACGTGCAGCGCTCCACACCTGCGGGAGGGGAAAGGCTCAGTGCACCTCCTCTTTGGAATGTGGCTTTCATGTCCTTCAAAGTTAAAATTTCCCAGTTTCCATTTACACCCCCTCCCCCCCCAAAAATACTGGAGTGTTATAGGAAACACCCTGGCAAATGTAAAGAACATAGGAATAGGAATGTAAAACCTTGTGGCAAATACAGAAAAACTCAAGGAAGTGTTTTCCTCTTGTCCTTCGAAAACCAGCAAGCAATTATTTGGGGGCAAAGGTGCCAAATGTTGAGGGGAAATGAGCAGGGGGACAGGGAAGGACGGGCAATGTGTTTCCCTTGCCTCTTTCTGTGATGTTTCCTCCAAGGTTTTTGTGTTTATAAATATGATTGGTAACTATTCAGAATGTCAAGATGTGACTCACGGAGTTTGAACAGGGACATTGACAACTATTTTATGTGTGAAGGGGTGTAACTTGGGGAAGTTCAGCTAACGCTTCCTCACAATCTTTTCACACAGGCCCCCAGATCGCCAGTTCTGTATTCTTGTGTTTTGGTTTGTTATTCTGGAGTTAAACACTTATGAGTACAAAAGCTCTCGAAGATGGTGGGAATTATGCAGGAGGCACTAAACCAGTGATGGCGAACCTATGACACGCGTGTCAGAGGTGACACGCGAACTCATTTTTTGGTTGATTTTTCTGTGTTAAATGGCATTTAAATATATAAAATAAATATCAAAAATATAAGTCTTTGTTTTACTATGGTTTCAAAGATCAAAAAATTTCTATATGTGACACGGCACCAGAGTTAAGTTAGGGTTTTTCAAAATGCTGACACGCCAAGCTCAAAAGGTTCGCCAGGAGGCACTAAACCAAGGCCTGCGTGGTGAGAGATGGGGAGTACAGGGGGCAGGGAGGCTGCTACTTCTCGTTGAGCTCAGAGACTGGCTACTGGGTGAGCAGAGAAAAGCACAGTGATCAGCACCACACTTGATGTACCAGGCAAGTGGACAGCTCCTGACACTGCTTCCCCCTGCAGATGGGAAAAGACGGAGGAAATGAGAGCATCCTGCACCACTGAACTGGACACACCTGGATAAGTGGCCGTCATGGTTAAAGGACAGAATGCAGGGTAAGACCACAGTGGGGCGGTAGGCTGGCCACTACAGGGGTTGCTGCAGGTCACTGCACACAGCCAGAGGTGTACCAGGCATGGTGAGGGCATATGGGGAAGTGGGCTGAAGACATGCAGGGTGAACTGGGCATTCAATCTTATCTAAAAATGTCCACCGTGAGAATAGTCCACCTCTCAAGACAAAAGCATTTCAAGTCATCTCTTCCATCTACAATTATAATTCCACGTGGAGGTACTTGGAGTGCTTCAGCTCTGGGAGGTGGGCATTTTCTTACCGGGAGCTGTAACATAATGTATTAGGTGGTAAAGTCATCTTTGTTATCCCTCTTCTAAACTTGTAAGTCTAAAATACCAATTAGGAAAAGGAATTCAAGAAAACAGACTTCCTATTTTTACTGTCATAGGAATGAATGATGTTTTTAGGGACCCTTGAAGTTTGTGAAACCCTAAGATTAACATACCAAAAGTTGGACCTTTCTTTAAAGACGGTGTAATTAAAAAATTGCTTTATTCCTTTAAGAGAAAAGGACTGGGCCTTTACGGTGGCAGGACTGAATTGTTAGCAGTCAAGGAACGCCATGGCTTCCCTGCATGGAGCCTAATAAAGTTCTGCTCAGCTGCCCTCGTCCCAGGACATGGTAGGAAAACTTACTCAGCCTGACTTTTTTCTTTTCCATTTTCAAAGGCCACACCAAACATTTGGAGGAGGTGACATTACATCATGGGGTGGCTGATAAGGGAGGTGAATTTTTAAGCCCTAGTACACTAACTTGTTTTCTAGCTGAAACTTGTGTAAATTGGCAGGAGAGCTGTGTTTTACTGTGTGTGTATGCATGTATGTGTGTGTATGTACATGTATCACATATGCATGTATAACATATAGAAACCTGTATACATATACTATTTGTGTGTGTGTTTTAACACACAGGCAGTTTTGAAAAGCTGGTGCTTCCTACGACACTCACCTGTCCGCAATGCTTGCAGATTTGATTTTGTCTATGACAATGACCTGCTTATTACAGCACATCGAGGTAGTAAGGGCAACCCCAAGGCTGGCACCAGGAGTTTTGGCAACTTCAACTAGTAATGGCCCGGATGCTGTTGCCACAGAATCTATGAAAGAACGAATTTCAGAAAACAAAACAAAATTAGACAAATAAGCAACCAGACACACACACACACACACACAAATGGAGAATGTTCAGTCTGACATTGGTTTATCGATTTCATCACTGAAACGTAAAATTTGCTTTAAATGACATCCCCACAGCCAGCGGTAACTTCTTGGGGCATCTCTTAGGACACCTGTTCTATGCAGCTGGTCTTCAGTAATACGGGCACAGGCCTCTCTTCAATTACATGCTAAGCTTCACGTCAGCTGGGATAAGATCTATGTATCTTTATGCCTCTACATCACTTGGTGCATACAGTGCCTGGCACATACTAGGTCTCTCAATAAGTATTTTTAAATTAATTAATCCATGCAATAAACATCTTAGCACCTAATATGGATGGCTGGATGGCAGGAAGAAAGGAAGGAAGGTAGGGCAGGAAAGTGAGAGGGAGGGAAGGATGGAGGAAGGAAGGAAGGGAGGGAGGGAGGGAGGGAGGATGGAAGGATGGGTGGATAGATGGGTAGATAAGTGGATGATGTCTCTAATTAACCACATAGCAGGAATGTGTGCACTGTTGAATCTGTAAATCCATTTGTTCTTTCCTTATTCTAGACCTGATCTAGGGTCACCTCTACCTCAGGAGTGACTTCAGACATGCTTTATTTTTGTTTTGGAACACTCTTCATTCCTTCAGCTCCCACTGAACCTTGGGGACTCAGTGTAAACATCACTTCCTCTGGGGAGCCTCTCCTGATTCATGGTTTCTCTGTGCGCCCACAGCCAGCTGTATTCCTGCTTGTAGCAGACACCTCAGTGGCATAAAAGGCAGTGTGGGTTATATGCCTCTATTCCCCCCAGACTGTAGGCTTGCTGCGAAGGCAGAGACTATGCCTGGTCTATCACAGCATCCTCAGTGCCTGGGATAGTGATGGGTACAGAGGAGTGTGCAATCAATAGCTGTTGAACGAACGTATGGACAAATGAGAAAACTCATGAAATCGCTTAAAGCTCAGAAGAGGCAGGGGTCATACAGGAAAGAGCCCTGGACACAGAGTTAGAACATCTGCATTTAACTCTTCTCTTCACAATATTTTGGTTATGATTCTTTAGACAAGTTACTAAAACCTTCCAAGTCTGCTTGCTTACCTATAAAATGGTATATTTTCAAGTGTTTATTACACCAAAATCAATGTGTAATTAAACATTTTATAATTTTCAAAGTGCCTTATAGAACATGATTATCATTGATATATTATGACCTCAAGCCTTGAGTCATCTCATTTTTCAAGACTGTCTTTCTGATTTCCTACTGCTCTGGTGTTTGGGACTTCATTAATACAACTTTGTCATTATCACCAAGGCGCCACTCAGATATAGTAAACAGGAAGTCTGTACTCCTGCTGCTGAGTTTCAGGCAGTCTGCACTGACTCCTGAAGACGAAAGTTCCATGGGGAGAGCCATTTTCAGTCTGAGATGCAATAACATATTTCTTAAATGAGGTAAAGACAGAATATTCATGCCAGCAACAAATGATTGGTGATATTGAAATAATTTAGTCCTAAAAAAAAGAAATAATTTTCCCTGGCTGGTGTGGTTCAGTTGGATGAGTGTGGTCCCTGAACCAAGAGGTCACCGGGTTGATTCCTGGTCAGGACACATACCCGGGTTGTGGACTCAATCCCCTTTAGGGGGTGTGCAGGAGGCAGCCGATGGATGTTTCTCTCTCATCGATGTTTCTCTTTCTCTCTCTCTCTCTCCCTCTCCTTTCCTCTCTCTCTTAAAACATATTGAAAAAAAGAAATTATTTAGTTCTAAAAATGGTTGAGAGACCATTAGGACCTATATCTCTTCCTGTCAATTCCAGGGCAGAGCCTCATTGCTAATAGCTGGAAGGAGCCAACAATCTTGGTCTGTTAAGAGGACTTTTTGGACCTGCAGTTCATGGCTGTAATTTTCCCATTATATTATTACTAACTCCCAGAGATTGTTCCCAACCTAACCCTACTGCTACTCTCTGCTCTTGCTCACCTTGCTGTCTGAATTCCCCTCACCTAGGGGTTTATAGTGAGTGGTCCCTGTGCCTATATGCAACAGCGGTTTGCTCCTCATCTGTGGCAGTTGGGGCCCCCCAGAAAGATTTTGGGTCAGTCCCTGAAGCCCCTGTTTTAGTTGTCCTTCCATGATGAGAGTAGTTGATCTTGCCTACCTCTCAACTCTAATAGTCAAAGTTCTGCCGCAACCCACGTGCACCTGGTTTGATGTCACCAGCTCCATCCAGAAGCTTGCTGTCCTCTTCTTTGAGCGTGATGCCCCCTGGCAACCTCTCTTCCTGCTCAGATTGAACCTCACAGGAGGCTCTGGCCTACCAGGCTATTTCTATGTGTATTTATAGAACTTTAGAAGGGCTAATTTTAGAAGGACTAATTTCCCAAATGACTTCCCATAGACTTGTTGAATTTTAATAGGTAGGTTTGTGAGGTGGCAATCACATATGCTCTCCCATCTGGTTTGCTCATGTCTAAAGATAAACTTATTTGGCTTAACAGATGAAAGTAATCAAGTTTCTCTGTTACTTATTAACTTAATCTCTTATAAATGACAGAAAATGACAATTGTTCCTTGGTATCCTATCTTCCCTTTTTCTTCAGTAATAAGCTTCCTAAGTGTTAGCTGAGCAAATGGCTTTCCAGTTAAGGACAGCATTTCCCAGACTCCTTTGCAGCGAGGTGCAGCCCTGTGACTAAGTTCCAGCCAATGGGAAGTGGGTGGAAGAGAGATGTGACCCATTTTGGATGTGCTCTGAAAAAGTGGTTGTGTCTGCCTCTTCCTCATTTCCTACTTCTTGCTGTTGCCATGTGTGCCCAGAACTTGTGAGCCACATTCAGCCATGAAGACAGGGGCATGGAGCCACAACATAGAGGAAGGGCAGGTTCCTGACACCATATCTCCAGAGATTGCTTAATCACCCAAGAAATAGACAAATACCCTTCACCTCAAGGCCATGAAGAGATGTGAATTCACTGGGTGCCTGGGAGAGGACGCTATCTGGCCCTAGGAGAATCTGCCAGACTGGCCTTACTATAGAGGACTCTAAGCAAACCATGATGACTGACAGCTGAACAGAACCACAGAGTAGAAGGTGCTTATTTCAGTCCTAGCCAGAAACAGATGGTACTCAAATTAGGATAATTTGAGGAGAGTGTCATAAGGGGCTATTTAGAAAGATGTGATAAGGTTGTAGGGAAACCACAGGGAATACTCTAGGGCCAGAAGCAATAGGGCACCGTGCCTCATTAGACCTCATGCCTCACTAGACCCGAAGAAGCAAAGGATAGAACTGTTAGTGGAACCAAGATTTGGAGAGGATATTTGTGGACAGGGCTACCTGACAGGAGCTGGGACCTTCCATCAAAGAATGCAGCCAGCCCCAGTGAATCTACAGGGAGGAAGCCAGGGAAAAACAACCTCTGTCACTGTTCTCCCTCCCTCTGACCTCCTGCCATGATTCACTATTAGCTAAACCCAGAAGGAGCCAGAGGCATGAGAGCCTATCATGCAGGGCAACAGGGCATGACACAGAGCAGCAAGGAGAAGGGCGGTGAGTGGCTCTGGAGGTAAAAAGAAGAATGTCCTTATTTGTATATGTCTCCATTCAGCTTCTTTCCACAAACGTCTGGAGGCTGCTTGCTTTAAACAAAATATGCAATATAAGGAAATACTAAGGAAGAAGAAAAAGCGACTACAGATGCCTTGCCCACACTGGTTAATAGAGAATTTAAAAAATAGCTGAACTATATAGGTAAACCCACAGAGACAGAAAGTAGATTAGAAATTGCCAGGGGGTGGGGACAGAGTGACTGCTTAAGTTTTGTAACTACACAGAGGTGATGGCTGCACCACATTGTGAATGTACAACATGCTACTGAACTATACACTTTAAAAAGTGGTTAACTATGTTATGTGGATTTTGCTTCAATTAAATAAAATATGATTCTGAACCTCTGGAAACCAGGACAATCAAGGAAACATGGTCAGATATACAGTTGTCACTGCTGGAAAGGAGAAAGTCTGTCCCTACGATGGAAATAACGATTCTTCAGGCAGAGAATCCTAAAAGATATCTCTCCCCCGGGTTTTATATATAGTAAATGCTGCTCACTGACAAATGGGCAATGCCCTCCACACGTTTTTATAATAGGATGCAGAGGTGGTTTCCAATGGCTATGCCTTCATCAAGGTTGAGGCATAAAGTTAAAAAGCAAATGAATGATGATGTCTCTATAATGGAAAAGCTAATGTGATGGTTTGATCTAAAGACAGATCCTAGGGTGGACAGACCGGATGTCTCTCTGGGGATCTTTCCTAGATACCTGTCTTTCCCCTCATTTAGTTTTCCAACAGAAGCTGGGCATTAGACAATGTAAGATGGTCCCCTGTGATGAGACCCTGGTATGCTCGCAATTTATATACACGACTGAGACCACCTCCAAAAGCTATGGACATCAGCTAAATCAGCAGCAGAGTTAATGTACTATCAGGAGGCTGGAGAAGCCCATGTTCTGGCAAAAAGAGAAGAGCACCCACCTCACATTCCCACAGAACAGGGCTTACTAATTCATCATTCCTGCAACATGAATTTAAAATATACTATTATTGAGTGCTAACTATATACCAGGAACATCAGAAGATGCTGGGGACTCACAGATGAAAATGTTACTATCCCTCCCTTCTAGTAACCCCTGGGGATACCTTGCAGAGAAGGTGATGGAACAGGGTAGACTCCTGGATTTCACGATGGACACTTATTCTGTTGAACCTCATGAAGTTTCTAGTTACTTTTTTTAAAAAAAACTGAAGACACCAAATGTTTGCAATTTACTCTCCACTGCACCTCTGCCCCAATGAAATCTTTAATCTAGTAAGGTCAGCATACTTATAGAAAACTAGAGGCTGTGCCTGAATTTTCCGGGGGGGGGGGGGGGGCGGGTCCCTCAGCC